TTTTTTTTTTTTTTTTTTTTTTTTTTTTTTTTTTTTTTTTTTGGGGGGGGGGGGTATTATCATTTGAATGAATAATAAGGTGATGGCTGCCTGTTTGTTTTTTAGTGAAATGCAATTACTGTTGGTTATAATTTTTTTTTTTTTTTTTTTTTTGGGGGGGGGCTCTGTAAAAAAACCCCTTCTAATAACTTTTTGTGACATTATACATTATATCCAAATAATAAATGCTATTTATCACATTGTTTGGAAAGCAGACAAAGCCATTAATCATTTTAAAAAAAATATTTAAGGGACTGAGATGGATGGATTATTGGCACACAATACTCTTTGAAAACGTAACTTTGACTACATTTTTGAAGCATATTCCCTTGGATGCCTAGTTTCAACTTCAACCTATTCAATCACTTAGAATATAGTTTTTAAGTATGTTTTCCAATTTATTTATTTAATTGATTTTCCTTTATCTGCAGATAGTATTCACCAACATCTCTTGCACCTGTGTGTGATTTTGAATTTCAATGTTTTGTTAATAACTAAGTTTGGAGTAGCCAAGTTTTAAAAATACTTCAATTTATCAGGATGATATCACAAAACATTTAGAACACCACTCTAAACACAAATAATCTATTGTGCAAAAGACATGAACAACTTGTAAGTCACTGGTTCACTGAGCCGATGCTGTGCAACAATATCAGACAACACAACTAAGTCCCCACCCTCAAAAAAAAAAAAAAAAAAAATCTGTATTTAAATGGATATTATTAATTATAATTCTCAGTACAACTGGAGTGGTATTTTGATATAATTATGGCATATTTGTATTGGTTTGAAATAAATAAAATATACATTTTACTATAACACATTTCAAATATCTTACAAACTAAAAGGTCAACAAATGTAATTAATCTCTACTAATCACAGGAATTTAGCTACACAGCAGTGACAACACCTTATCAATTGGTACAAGATACTACCAATACCATCACCCATATCTAGTAATATCTCTTTTAAAATTGCACTTAACTCAATCCTACTTTAGCATAAGATTACTGTATTTACAACCAATTTCACCATCTGGAATAAGCAGAATGATATGCAATAACATATTTATCATTTTTTCTTTATCAAATGCAATGATTGACATAGAGAAAAAAAATAAAAAAGAAGATATTTCACAGTTCCACATTGTACATATTTGTTTATACTGGATCATACTGAGGAAGACAGTCTGTCAAGCTACACAGGAATTCCTTTTGACTGATGAAGTGAGCATACTTGAGCACCTTATTTGGTTTAGTGTGGAATTTTATGTGGACCTAGAAAACAAAATGAAAGTCAATTTGTACAATAACTTCTACATGCCATTACAATCTATAGCATAGAAAATATAGACAACATATTTGATTTACTAAAACTGAATAAAACCTTCTTTAGAATTTGGTAAGTTCTTTGTTCCACAACGAGCTAGAATCCAAAGGGTACCCTAATTAGAAAAGATTTGGGTACCATTCCCACAGATATTTGGATCGATCTATCTCCCTGGGGAGTCTCACTTAATTGTTATTAATTTAACCAGCTTAAATGTTTGTTTCGCCTAGTAAAGCTGTTAGGGGGTAATTATCTTTCCCCCTTAGCTGATTTGGTAGGTGTGACAGACATTGAGGCCTGTTAGTTGATAGTCATTTAGTGAGACTCCCCAGGGAGTTGGACCAATCCAGATGGATCGATCTAGGCATGGGAACCCAGTCTTACCCTAGGCATTCTTCTAAAAGACACAATGCCATCCTGTGTCTCAACATGGCTCAGTCTTGGTAACCCCACTGACAAACTGAGGTCCTGTAAAGACTTCACCAGCCTGGGAGAGGGCAGCATGTTCTCATGTCTGACATCTTTATCACAGGGCCTCCACTCACGCACTGAGTAAGAGTGTACGTTGTTAGTGTTCTGAGATACCATCTGCTCTTCTGGCGTTTTGGGGGATGTCTTTTCAATATCAGTGATGGCCCCTGTTTGGCTACACATGGCTTGTACCCTCTTTGCCTTGCATAGCTTCCAAGCTGCTTGTATTGTCCTGACGGCATCTAGGGTTTTCTGCCATTTTCGTCTCACCAGCCAGCCTCTCATAACTGAAATTAGGTTTAATTTTCTTTTCAACATGTTTTATTTTGTGTGAAAAAAGCGTAAACAGCTCTTCACCATTTTGAAGTTGTACACGTTAGCCTAGATTTCAACTTAGTGAAGTGAAGACAGAAATAGAAGTAAAGACTAAAAAGAAAGAAAGATAAAAAATTAAGGGAAGCGTACCAGCTTGTATCTTCAGGATGGATTTCCTCTTTTTACATTGGTACCTCCTCCAAGCACACTGTATGGTAAAGGCATATCTGCTCAGAAGTTTGCACCGGGCAGCCTCTAACTGTTCCAGCTACAGCACAGAAGAGAATACGCATAAGTAACTGGAGCTCTGCAAAAGCAAAAGCTAACACAAACAGGTGCTTTTGCTGTATTTAAAAGAACATTTTCATTCTTAAATATCAAAATAACTTCACTGATTTTGTAAGATACTGTTGACATTTACATATAAGTAAGACTCTTGTGGATGTAACATACAAAACAGAAAGACTAATCTCTCAGTTTTTATTACCTGGCCATCTTGCAAGAAGAGTTTGGTCCTGCCAAACTGCTTGCTCAAGTTTGGTTGAAAACCAAAAACAATCTTCATCACAGAAGCACAGCACTTTCTAGTATGATCAGAGCTGGAGAGGCCTAAAATATATATAAAGCAAAGTTGCACATACTGTAATGTCAATGAAAAATAAACACTGTTTTAAGTTAACTATAGATATAAGACTATGTTTTAAGTTAACTTTGGATATATGACTATTATATGTTTTTTTTTAAAGGAATAGCACTCATTCTCCATGAAGCTGAAGATTTTAAACATTGGCTAGTAAGCATATTTCTAAATATAAAACATGAACTATACTGAGATTAGTCAAGGAGGTTATATATCTCCTTGTGCTGGTTCACTGCAGAATGAAAAATAGTCAAATAATGCAGTTGGTGACAGAGCAATATATATAGTTAGCAATATATAAGTTAGCAATATATAAGTTACCTGTCCTTCTTCGAAGTTTCTTTTTAGGGGTGCCACTCTTTTTGGGGGTATCCAGCAGGGACAGCTGCTTCTTAAACAGTTTGTCCAGAGGGTCAAACAGAAGGTCATTCTCCTTCTCTGTGTCTCGGTCTGATTCTGACTGGGATGACAGAGAGACCAGATGAGTTGGCTCACTTTTGATGATTATTCCAAACTTCTGTACAAACTTGTCATAAGGAATTCTATAAGAAAATATTTTTAAAGTTATTTCTCTCTTCATGAATGGCCAAATACAAGACAATCACTAATCATCATGGTATGACTTTCCTTTTTTCTTCTGCTCAACACATTCTATTTAATTTTATAAAATTTAATGGTCCTAATTTTCATCCTTTTATCTCTATAATGCTATAGCCAGGGATGAGACTGCCATTTAGTGAAATAGTTGGAAAATATGGCATGGGGTTGACAGGGGTGCCTAGCCAATGACATTTTTGGCTCCCAAAAATTCGCAAATCTGCCCATAGTTGAATAAATCTCATCCCTGTACAGCTCCTCACTCTTCACTAATATTCACCTTGCTGGATATCCATTCCTACTGATCTCCACTGTCTCCATCACTCCACAGGCCTCCAGCTGCGTTATAACATACTGGCCATCAAAGTGGCCTGCCTCACAGTGCTGGTTTGGTTTTATACACCGGATGTAGAGACATTCTGTGCTGTTCAGGGTTTTCATCAATGCATCCAAAGAACTCTGTGAATAATGGTAGTGAAAAAGATGCAGATTCTCCATGTCTACTAGATTTGATTTTTATCTGCTTTATTCTTAATAATTGGCAACTTGTAATGTTTGTTTGAATTTTTATGACATTTCAAATGAATCACATCAAATTATTACAAATTATCATTAATTATTTCATTTAGATCATGAAAAAGTGAAATTAAAAAAACAGAAAACTACAAAAGTACCTTAAATTTAGCAAGAACAGTCTTCTTTTTCCTGCCAGGTTGATCTGTTTCAAAGTCAGCGAACAAGGAGGCTATGAAGTCATTATCACTGTTCTTCAACATGTCCACCAGTTCTGCTGGAACATTGTCCTGAAAACAGAAATTACTAGGCGATAATGTGAATTACTCCTTAAGGATGAAAAATGCTGAAAGTCAGAGATCTATATATCTAGTCGCTTTATTAAAATTCTGATAGTCTTTTAAATATTTTGTCACTTTTCTAAAGTTTCCTATATATGTGAAATAAAAAAATGTTATATTTATTATCTCATATTTTTTATATCCAATCTTCAATACTCAGCATTAAATATTCACTAATACCTCACCATCCAAACTCACCTTATTTTTATCCACCAGTCCACTGACTTGGTACTGTACCGTCCCTGCATAGTGCTTCACAGCAAACCAAGGGTTCTCAAGGTCTTTCTTGGGCTGCTGGAAGTGACGGTGACTTCGTGCCGAGGTAAAAATCCGATCACAGATCATTTTGACAGAGGATGGTCTATTGAGGTTGCATTCCTGAAACAGAGTTGATATCAAAAGTTAAATTTTTCTTCAGACGGAAGACTTAAAACCATGCACAGATATACATTTTGTTCAGAAAGGGCAAGCTCAATATACACCTACTTATATTATGATCTAATGTTCTATCAGACAAAAAAATCAATAGTTTTGTTTGATGATTTTATCTCAAGTAAATTAAATAAATCATTTAAACTACTTTTAAAAGTAATTACAAGCTAAAATCACACTGAGTCCAGTATTCTATATATATATTGTTTTTCTCTATTTTGCAACTAAAGCCTGTGATACAAGTACCTCTATGAGCAGTGAGAAGATTCCCAGACTCCCATCAAGTAGCTCCACACATGGTCTGTTGTCCACAAAGTCTGTATGTGTCCATGGCAATGCCTCTTTAACATACTCAGCCTAAAAGTGAATAAGTTTGTAATTGGTAAAAACTAGATCAATGTCCTTTTTATGACCATGTTGTCTGAAAACGTGTTAATTTTGCTCACAGTTTATCAAAAATTCTTGAAAATTAATCTCTCTATCTTTCAAAGAAAATGAGAATACACCAAACTTAAGCATTGGAAAACTTTTCTATAGACTGTTCTTCAATTTTTCTTTCTAATCCATTCTGCAGTGAATTTAAGAATCAAACTTTAAAGCTAACATTTACCTGCAGTTCTTTCAGAAAATGTGCCACAAAGTGCTGCTGAAGCCTCTCATTGGCATAGTTGATGCACAGCTGCTCCAAGCTGTTGTTTATGAAGCTCTCAAAACCATAGATATCAAGCAACCCTTCAGGAAAACAAGAACTGATATCACAGCAACTCAAAAGTCATTTAGTGTAAACTCTTTAAAAGACAATATCAGTCAAAATTGTCCTTGCTTGCAAAACTTCATATGAAAGTGAACAATTATTTTATTTTCTTTCAGAAAAAGGTGGAAATATTAAGAATCAGATTGTTTTACCAACCTATAAAACTGTACAGTTCCTTGGTTTTGATACATCCATTGATGAAGGAAACTAACCAGTCAAATAACCTAAAAATATTACATTTTAATCTTTAGACATGAGAAATAATATAAATAACATTAAAATTATCTGAGCTGTATATATTAAACATATTTCATAACAAATAGAAAACAGGGTTTTATATAAAGGTTAAAAAAAACATCTTAGGGAAAAACAATTACAAATCAACACAACATTCCTCCATGTATATATATGCAAAGAATAAATCTCTTAAAGAATATTTAAAAATATCAAAAAGTTTCAGAAATATTTCTTTTGTTTAGGCCAGTGCAATTTTAGGAGCGTAAAAACTACCTGGAATAAAGGGTCTTAGACAGACAATCTCGTCTGCTCCTCCCCTCCTGCTCATTACATGGTTTATGGAAGACACTCTGTCTGCGGCTGTGGGAGGCAGCAATACGGCGGAATGTTAGAGCTTTCTCTAGCACTGAGGGATCCACACCCAGCAGCTTGCTAGCCAGGTCCAGGGAAACATTACAGTCTGCAAGAGAGGTGATTCTTTGTAGAGAAATATATCAAATTTACAAACAACTATATTAAAGACAGTCTCAGCGCGTTAAACCCTTAAAATAGCACGAAAATGAATTTTCCTGGAAAACTCACCAATTTCCCCATAATGACCAAGGTATATCCTATCCAAAACNTACACGACAGCGACGACGTCGACGACAGACGCAGATGATGGCTATATGTACAGACACATCTGTGTCTGTACATAAAAAACATCTTAGGGAAAAACAATTACAAATCAACACAACATTCCTCCATGTATATATATGCAAAGAATAAATCTCTTTAAGAATATTTAAAAATATCTAAAAGTTTCAGAAATATTTCTTTTGTTTAGGCCAGTGCAATTTTAGGAGCGTAAAAACTACCTGGAATAAAGGGTCTTAGACAGACAATCTCGTCTGCTCCTCCCCTCCTGCTCATTACATGGTTTATGGAAGACACTCTGTCTGCGGCTGTGGGAGGCAGCAATACGGCGGAATGTTAGAGCTTTCTCTAGCACTGAGGGATCCACACCCAGCAGCTTGCTAGCCAGGTCCAGGGAAACATTACAGTCTGCAAGAGAGGCGATTCTTTGTAGAGAAATGTATCAAATTTACAAACAACTATATTAGCTTTTAAAATATCTCAGATTTTGTGATATTTTGAAAAGAAAATCTTAAAGGGCAGTTTTAAACTGCATTACAACTTTTATTAGGAGTAATCTCAGTGAATATAAAATATATAGATGACAAGCTAAATTATAAAAAAGTAAACCTAGATAATCAGGGGCGGATTGAGGCCATCTTCTGTGTCTTCCAGAAGACGGTCAGATTTTCAAGTTTACGTTGATGGAATCTCATTTTTTCTGTCGGAAGACAGTCAAAAATGGAGGAGAGATCAACAAAGATAATTTGGAAGACTGTCAGAAAATATCTCTGGATCTGCCCCTGATAATAAACTACATGTTAAGAATTCTCACCTTGGTCATCAGTGTCCACATAACATCCCTGGTCTCCATCTCCATCAAACACCAAGTTACCAAGGTGAAGGATGGCACCTAGGACCTGGTGATGACAAATATATATATATACAAACTGGAATTATTGTTAAGCCTTTTTTTTTTTTTCTTTTTTTTTTTTTTTTTGNATGGCTCAGATGCGCGGCAAGTCTGAACAGGAGAGCGACAAAAGGGGGCGAAAGAAAATAGCCACTCCAGTTCGAAAGATACGAAAGAAAATTAGAGACAGACAAAGAAGCACTCAGACTGTGTATGTTGGGAGGGAGGTGGTGCGGTGGAGGACACTTAAAGCTGAGTTAGGACTCACATACGAGGCAATGGCGAAACTACTCCTCGACACGTGAGTATGCGCTTCACAGGTCTCAAGTGTGTCTGATTATCATATTATCCTGTTCACAATAAATGACAATATTTGTGCTCATACAAAGTTGGTTACGTGTATAAGAGCCTTTTGGGCTTTACGTTTTCTGTTTTTGATCGGTACATGTACCAAAAAGATGGACAGGCGGCACTTACATGTCTGAAAAGTTTCGCTGTGTAGTCGTGACGTCTATCTCATGCTGACTGAAGCCTGCTGTGATTGGTCGTAAGCGTGGGAAAATCGAGGTCGTGACCTTGAGCCGGAAGCGCTTCTGGCTGTGCTCCGAAATCATGATAAATAGTTTTCGTTTTCTAATTCTTTATTCTAGTTGTCTTAACAGGACTTTTGTGACCCAGACTTATTCATATAATAATAAACAATCTCCCAAAACACAAATCTGATCAAAGTTTTACATAGAACCTGCTTCTATACATTAATCTAACCCACTGAGTTGTCCTTTAAGCTTTTAAAATATCTCAGATTTTGTGATATTTTGAAAAGAAAATGGGCAATTTTAAACTGCATTACAACTTTTATTAGGAGTAATCTCAGTGAATATAAAATATATAGATGACAAGCTAAATTATAAAAAAGTAAACCTAGATAATCAGGGGCGGATTGAGGCCATCTTCTGTGTCTTCCAGAAGACGGTCAGATTTTCAAGTTTACGTTGATGGAATCTCATTTTTTCTGTCGGAAGACAGTCAAAAATGGAGGAGAGATCAACAAAGATAGTTTGGAAGACTGTCAGAAAATATCTTTGGATCTGCCCCTGATAATAAACTACATGTTAAGAATTCTCACCTTGGTCATCAGTGTCCACATAACATCCCTGGTCTCCATCTCCATCAAACACCAAGTTACCAAGGTGAAGGATGGCACCTAGGACCTGGTGTTAACAAATATATATATATACAAACTGGAATTATTGTTATGCCTTTTTTTTTGCTGATTACATCCAATTGACACACATAAAACTTGTCCTTTAAAATATTTTAATAAATAAATAAATAAATAAATAAATAAATAAATAAATAAATATAGAGCGCTGACACTTACATACAAAATACTGAGCAGACAAGTCAAACCAAATAAAATCAGTCAAAAGGAAAGAAAAGATAAGTTGTATTGTGGTTAATACTAAATTATGCTTTTACAGCATTTGTACTACGCATGGCTAAATTAACTTTATGCAATAACCCATACCCTGTTACACAAAATACACAGAGTCATTTATTCCAATATTGATGAAAGTAATCAATCAAAGGTCTGGGCCGCCAATATTGTGGTTGGTAGATTTGGCAATTACCAGTAGTGATAAAGGGCTGACCAATTAGTAACAATATGCAGAGATTGATTGGTTATTGATCTTTTGGGGGCCAAGGTAATTAAAATATTTTATCTGAAATTTATACACTTAAAAAGATTGAGATATGCATGTTGAATATATATATATATATGATAAGGTGATAAAACCATGACAAAACAGTGCAAAATTTGTGACTTAGTTAACTTTTTGATCAAAAACATAAGGCTAACGGAGGAGTTTTTTACCAAAGCACTAGAAGAGGAACTTCTCCATAAAAACATCGTGCAGTCCCTGAGGGTGAGTCAATTTTAACTCATAAACAAGATTAAACTGAAACATGGTGTCACATATAACTGGGTGACACTGTAAGTATTATAATTGGTACTTAATACTTTCAGGATACACTGTCTACATTATTTTTTATTATTCTAAAGGGTATGGATTACATTACGTGCAAATCATTTATTTCATGTTCTCATTAACATATATGGACTCAAAACTCCTAATTAAAAAAAAACATTGTAAAATATTCTCTTTTGAGGGTCTAATGAAAAATGATGTTCATGGAGTCGCCATGATGCTGATCTATGTCCTTCCACTGGGTCAAGCTGGCCTGACCTCCTTGGTCAATGTCCTGGAAGGTTGTGGTCAAGAAGAAGTATGGTGCTGGAAGGACACCACGGCAATATTTGAAGGTAACCTGTCCATTGTCATCAATATTAATAGTATATAGGTGATTATTTCAATGTTATGATTATTATAACCATCATTGATGGTTGGATGGTCTTTTTTCAACAATTATCTCAGAATCTGTAAACTGACTGTCCTAAATTAAAAATTATTGAATTTAAGTGGTACCACATTCAAAATGGAATGGATTTTACTATAATATATTTTTTTCCTTTTTCAGCTTGGGAAACTGACAAGCAACAAATAATGAAACTGTTACTAGAATACCAACAAGAAAAAGCGCATGAAGAGTCAACCAAGCTAAAACATGAAATCCTTTACAAGGACAGAAAACTTCAAAGACTCAATTCTCAGCTTGAAATATCTCTACAGGAGCTTCAGATTAAACTAGAGGCCAGAGACAAGGAACATGAGGAGGTGAAACAAGAAAATGATGAATTAAAAAGGAGACACTCCCAGATCTCGGGGGAACTGCAGACTGACATCTCAGGCAGAATAGACAGGTACGCCCAGCTCTTATCCCTAAAGGAAAAAAAGATACAGGACCTGGAAGAAGAAATCAAGGAGGCTAAATCTCAGCTGCAAATCTCATCAGAAGAGCAAGAAAGAGAAAGGAGAGAAGCAATCAGGGACAAGGAACAGATTCATGAAAACATGAGAGAGATAAGGTCGAAACAAGATAAGTATACCATGCAACTGGAGGAAAAGCTAAAAGAGAAAGAAAAAGAAATTCAAGAACTCAGTCAAAAGACAACTGTGGACAAAACCTCTTCTAAGAGCTGTGACTGTAGTTGCCATGACAATGAAACTGAAATTGAACTACAAAATTCTGGCAAGAAGACAGTCCAGTTTGTTTTGCCCAAAGATGGTCCTCATCAGGAGCAAATTTCAGAGGAGATACTTCTAAAACTGAAAAGCGTGACACATGAACTAGAAATGCGAACGCAACAACTTGGACTGCTTGAAAAACAAAACCATAACCTTGATGCTCAAACAAAAGAGTTACAATCAATCTACATCCAGTACAGAAGTGCATCTCAGCTACAAATAGAAAACCTGAAGACACAGCTGTATAACCTTCAACAGACCATAGATAAGCTCAGTGCTGAAAATGACCATCTGAGAAGTCTCCTGTCAAATTCCTCCACTGTCACATCCCCACGTGGTAACATCTCGCGACCACAGTCAGAACCTCTTAGGATCACATCTGCAGTCAGAATTCCACGGCAACAATCTGCAACAAAATCAGACAAACTGCCGACAATTCAGCAAAGTGGAGCTCCTCCCAGAAGAGCCAGCATGCCAAATTTCTCTTCACCACCAGAATCAGAGTCGGTATCCCACAAATCAGTTTTGAATTCCCTACAAAGGAAAGAAGATCGCCCTGGCATAGATGCTGCTGCCAGTTCCAGTAGTTTCCTAAGCAGGAGATTTGTTTCAAGTGGAAAATCAAGGAGTAAACCACTACCTGGGTTGAAAAAAGTCAACCCAAATATAACCACAGTATGTGAAGAAGTGACACCCCAAGGAGGCTTTTTAGACATGCAGGGGGCCTCATTAACAATCCCTCCAGAAGCACTAAAAGGTCCAATCTATATCCAGTGTACAAAAAACATAAGTAACCCAGCAAAATCTGAATACGTCAAAAGGTGTGGCATGTCTGAATTTGTGAAACTTGGTAGCAGGTATAACTTCAGGCCAAACAACATAAAATTTCAGAAAAAAGTCACCATGTCCACCAGCAAACCAAGTGACCATCCCCAGGCAGCACTGGTGGTGCACCAGCGGCTAGCAGAAAGGGGCATTGTAAGTGACTGGGAGGACATCACAGACAAGTGCATCTCCCAGTCACAGCCAGAGGAAAACACAGTGAACTACAAGCTCGGCCAACTTGGAGAGATTCAAGAATTCTGGATGGTGCTTATGGAGGAAAATCGTGCGCTGAGAAACAGACTTCTCAGTGTGCACAATTTGGGCAGTGTTCCTTGTGACTTTACTCTCTTTCTGCCACAACTTCCACCAGTGTCCTTCATAGAGGTAGTTTGTTCTGACCAAAGCCTTGAACTAAAATGCCTTGAAATCTTCAAGTCAAAGGACAGAAACATGATAAAATGTGGCCAAGAAGTCAGCAATTATGAACTCTGCAATGAGGATGACATTGTTTTCATGTTTGATAAACTCCTCACTGTTCAAGGAAGTTTTAAGTTAGATATTGATAAATGCCGAACAAGAGGACAGAGATTCAAACTTTCTTTAACAAATTCCAACATTCCCAGCAGTATGGAAGTTGCGAGAAATAAAATGGACAGTTACATGCCCCAAAGGATATGCACTATTGTCATCAATATTAACGGCATAGGTGATCATTATTATTTTATAGAATAAGATACTGAGATTCAATATACACAAAAGTAAACAATTCTTTTAAGTTCATGTCACACTTACACCCAGGAATATAAATGTAGCTTCAATAAAAAACACATTTATTCAATTTGACTTTAATTTTTGCTCCTTTTTCCAGAAATTGAGGCCCCTCATGGACAAATTCTGCGCCAGTTTCGTCTAAAACTCATTAAAGATGTAGACTTCAAGGACTTGGTTAACTCCCTAAGACAAGACAACACAATAAATGAGCGTATGCAAGAGGAGATAGAACAGGAAAAGACACGGATGGACAAAATGGCTAAATTTCTAGACATACTAGCACATAGACAGGAGAAAGGGTTTATTTCCTTCCTAGGTTCACTTCAAGATTCCTACGACTGGCTGGCAACTGAGATGGAGCAGTGCTTCCAACAGTTAAAAGCCCAATTTATATCAGGCACATAACTAACTTCTTTACTATAGCTAAGGCAATGGGGAATTTTAAAAAATCAAAATAAAGCAGGTATTGTGGTAGATATCCTTCGTATGACTGAAATATGCCATGTTAAGAACATTTAGGCATCAGTTGCTGCAAATTAATGAAAGTTATAAATAAATGTGGTGACAACACATTTTCAAAAATTATCTAAATGCTTGGAAGAAAAACAGTTTTGATACAGTATTTCAACTGAATGACTGCAGTGAATTAAACATGCAGGAATAAGTGAAGAAAGAGAAATAATTAATGTTACAGGTGCTGCCAAAACAGAATTTCATTCACTTCATTTATATGTGTCTATAAAATATTTTATTTAAGATAAACAGACTTTATATGTGATCAACTGTAATAACTACAAATATACCACATCAATAAAGATAGTGTTTTGATGTTACTGCACATAATGCAAATATGAACAATTTCCATATAAAATCATAACATTTTAAGACTTACATCAGCCAAAAATGCAATTTTAGTTGTAATGACATACAATTCAATTGAACATTATGGGGTTGGTAGACCAATCTTTTCTAGTCCCATATCTGATTTCATACCTATACACGTCTGCTGGAGTGGAACATATCACCCAATGAGGTACTGTGGCTTCAAACAATGCTCAAATATTAACCAATGTTATAAATGCATCATAATACTTATTAAAACTTTTCACTGGAGGTGCTGAATTTTTTTCATGAAAGTAAATATGTTTTTAAAAGGTTTAAAAGGCATGCTGATTGTAAATCCACCAGATTTTTACCCTTCATTCACTGTAGAGCTTTAACCCACATAACAAAAGCAATTATTAAGGCGGTCTGCCACGTATTTTCTTTACACTGCAACCATTATATTTACAAAACATTGGATCAAAGGGATTGAATGTTTGTCAATAGTAATTCTGCATGAGCTCACAGGTTTTACACAACCGTTTGGGGTTTCACGGCAGTTTTAGACCAACAAGCCATAACTTGTCAGTCAGCAAACAGAACACAGAATAAATCATGGACTACGAGAAAATTAAACAGCATTTGGAAAGCTTATGCTTCACTATCACTCCAACTGACAGTTTTTACAGGGCATGTGTAGATGGGGGGTTAATTGAGAGAACAACACTCTATAAAATAAAGGTGAGTGATGTCAAACTGTATCAGGTGACATTTCATGCCATAGAAGTATGTTCCAGAAAAAAAAACTACAAATCATACACTCTTTTTAGCAGCAAGTTATAATCTGCTGCTTACTGCATTCATGTTTAAATGAAGATCATGCAAAATTCAAACTCATGATAAAATTCAAAAGATGACAAGTATAATTTCCTATTCTTTCATATCCTCAGGAGTACATCAAACTCCAAGGTCACGGCGTTGCCACGTTCCTCCTCAGCCTGACCCCACTAGGTGGAGTGGCCATCACAAAGCTGGTGGAGATCATTGAGAAAACTGGAAATAACATCAACCAGGCACAGCTTTATACTGCAAGGGAACACCTATCTGAAGGTCAGTCAAAAGACTTAATTTTGACACATTAGTGAAGTTTGACACATTGCGAGATTTTGGCAACATTATTTGTAAGTCTTGCTGGGCAAGGGTTTACTATTGAGTTCCTAATATATCAACAGTTTCTCCATCAGTTGTTATGATTTTTAGTGGTAAAATGACTGAGAAATCACAAGATCTTTCAATAGTTTCTGATGAAATGTATATTCGTGGGTTTCTCTTTCAGCTTGGGAAAGATATCATCAACAGATTATAGGCATTCTGATAACCATTCGAGAACAAGAAGGAAATGCCATTGAGAACCAAAAAATTTCCATATTAACACAAAAAGCAAGAGAAGAAGTAAGGGTAGAACTAGCCGAGATCAACAAATCCAGGGAAAAACTGGAAAGTGAAAAGAAATCTCTCATGGGAGAATGCAACCGTTTGAAGAGTGAAGTTTCACATTTAAAAACCAATCTTGCAGAATGTAACAAGAAACTCCTGACCCAGTCCCAAAGCAAAACAGAGCAGGTTAACCATGATGACACAAACAATGAACTACTTTCAGAGGCAAGTGAAAAATCACAGGGACAAAAAAAGGAGCACAAAGATGATATGCATCCTTATGGCAACTCACAGAAAGAGGACACTGGAAATTCAACAGCAAAGTACAAATTCAGTGATCAGAATATCCAGACAGATATTTTAATGCACCAACTCAACAACTTAACATTAAATACTAGAGATGATGATGTATTTATAAGTGGGAAAGGTTTGCCAGCTCTGTCAGAAAGGCCTCAGAGTACTAAAAGTGATCCTGGTGGATCCTCCTCCATGCACCGTTCATTAAGCTTACCTTCCAAACTGGTCAGTTTACCTGAACAGGGACCTTTCGTGCACTTGAAAAACATTGGCGGACGTTCACGAACCAAAACACATCCTGCAAGTGGCCCTTCACTGCCACCTATTGCTCAAGGATTCCAAGAAAAAACTGACCAATCAGTTACTGTGTCTCCACAGACTGGTGCTTTCATTACCCTTGACGACAAGTCCTCCATTAGTATACAGCGTGGTGCAGTCAAAACCAAGACACAAGTCACTGCCAAGATGTGCAAAGATAACGTGCAGCTACAACAGAAGCTGGTAAAAGGTGACCTATCTGATGAAATTTGTCTTGGAAATTGTTACAATATCAACTCACAGCCAGACGTCAATTTTGCTTGCAGCGTCCGCACAAAACCTCCGGGGCAGTTCAATTCTCTGTTTGTTCATCAAAGTACGGTTCACAAAAGAAAGGCACAGTCATTTCAGCCAGGTATCCCATCACCAAACAAAAAGTTTGCTGCTGCCTTGCCAGATGACAACATAACAGATATCACAGACCAATTAAATTATACTCAGGATGACAATGGAGTGACCTACCAGATCAATGGTTCTGGTCAGTACCAGGAATTCTGGGTAATCCTAAAGGAAAAGGAAGATGACTTGAAAAAGCAAAAGGAAATAATCAAACGATTACAAAAACGTTTGGCAAATCTGCGAAAGTTGGACATATGTATGTGTGACATCACATTATTCATACCACAAACAATCCCCAATAACTATCTTTGCCTTATATTCACCAATCAAGAGGTGCAAAGGAACTGCTCACTGTACATTCAATACAACACAAACCCATCGTTCATCAATACAGCATACCAGCCGTCCAGTGCTTATGTTCACCACCAAGACGAGATCACAATCAAAAATCCCACAACAGAAGCACCTCTACATGTGTTAAAAGTGAACATGTTGGAGTTGAGAGGCAAGGGTATGGAAGTTAAAGTAGGTCTAGGGAACAGTACCATCCCCAGCATGCTGCAAGTAGTCAACACAACACTGAACAGGAGGAGAGTACTGTGTAACATTCCAACATTACTAGCAGCTGAAATAGAACAAGGTAAGGAAATAAAACCACTCCGCTGTCATGAAATAAGAATGTCGCTGTTGCCAATGGGTCTACTTCAAACAATATGTAGCTTTGAGCTTCTACATCTTTGCTGATATGATGGTCATGATTTCATAAACCTGTTATTTGATTTAAATGTATAAGGTAAATGTAAACAACTCGACCCATTCTTTTTCACTACAGGGATGCCTTACCAAGACAGGCTGAGAAGCAACTGGTGTGACATCATAGAAAATTTGGAAGATTCTGGTGTCATCGATTACTTGTACCAGGAACATGTCCTCAGCAGTCGTCAGATGAATGAGGTCAAAGACAAGAGTGTGAGGCAAGAGAGAAATGGAAAGCTGCTTGGAATACTGATGACAGCTGGGGAGAGAGGATATCATAAATTCTGTGATGCACTGCGTCAGAGTGAAGGGTCTGCATGGTTGGAGGAGCGTTTAAATAACACTTAGAAATTCTAAAAATAATTCATAAACCACAACCTAATAATTTTGTCTTATATTTATAGATCATATATTTATTGAAATAAAATTGCAGGATATATTAAGTCTAGACATTTTCATCATCCACTTTGCCAGGAGAAAAAGTAATTTTAATAAAACTGTGTATGAAAAAATCTTACAGACCACTCTTTCCTCTCTGGTATTCTTTTACTCTGAAAAGCTTTCAATCACTCCTTAGCCCATACAAGAATCTTGCTTAAATTCCCTTCAATACTTTGGGGTAAGAGAAATGAAGTAGCAACAATTTTTCAAGANGTACCGCCAGCGCTAACGCTGGTGGTACAATAAGTCAAAAGGAAAGAAAGGACAGTTTTATTGTGGTTTATACCAAATTATGCTTTTACAGCACTTGTAGTACGCATGGCTAAATTAACTTTATGCACAGTTTTATTGTGGTTTATACCAAATTATGCTTTTACAGCACTTGTAGTACGCATGGCTAAATTAACTTTATGCAATAACCCATACCCTGTTACACAAAATACACAGAACTATTTATTCCAATATTGATGAAAGTGATCAATCAAAGGTCTGGGCCGCCAATATTGTGGTTGGTAGATTTGGCAATTACCAGCAGTGATAAAGGGCTGACCAATTAGTAACAATATGCAGAGATTGATTGGTTATTGATCTTTTGGGGGCCAAGGTAATTAAAATATTTTATCTGAAATTTATACACTTAGAAAGATTGAGATATGCATGATGAATATATATATATATATATGATAAGGTGATAAAACCATGACAAAACAGTGCAAAATTTGTGACTTAGTTAACTTTTTGATCAAAAACATAAGGCTAACGGAGGAGTTTTTTACCAAAGCACTAGAAGAGGAACTTCTCCATAAAAACATCGTGCAGTCCCTGAGGGTGAGTCATTTTTAACTCACAAACAAGATTAAACTGAAACATGGTGTCACATGTAACTGGGTGACACTGTATTATAATTGGTACTTAATACTTTCAGGATACACTGTCTACATTATTTTTTATTATTCTAAAGGGTATTGATCACATTACATGCAAATCATTTATTCCATGTTGTTACATTGTTGCAAGATTTATTATAATCCCATATATGGACTCAAAACTCCTAATTAAAAAAAAAACATTGTAAAATATTCTCTTTTAAGGGTCTAATGAAAAATGATGTTCATGGAGTCGCCATGATGCTGATCTATGTCCTTCCACTGGGTCAAGCTGGCCTGACCTCCTTGGTCAATGTCCTGGAAGGTTGTGGTCAAGAAGAAGTATGGTGCTGGAAGGACACCACAGCAATATTTGAAGGTAACCTGTCCATTGTCATCAATATTAACGGTATAGGTGATTATTTTAATGTTATGATTATTATAACCATCATTGATGATTGGATGGTCTTTTTTCAACAATTATCTCAGACTGTCCTAAATTAAAAATTATTGAATTTAAGTGGTACCACATTCAAAATGGAATGGATTTTACTATAATATATTTTTTTCCTTTTTCAGCATGGGAAACTGACAAGCAACAAATAATGAAACTGTTACTAGAATACCAACAAGAAAAAGCGCATGAAGAGTCAACCAAGCTAAAACATGAAATCCTTTACAAGGACAGAAAACTTCAAAGACTCAATTCTCAGCTTGAAATATCTCTACAGGAGCTTCAGATTAAACTAGAGGCCAGAGACAAGGAACATGAGGAGGTGAAACAAGAAAATGATGAATTAAAAAGGAGACACTCCCAGATCTCGGGGGAACTGCAGACTGACATCTCAGGCAGAATAGACAGGTACGCCCAGCTCTTATCCCTAAAGGAAAAAAAGATACAGGACCTGGAAGAAGAAATCAAGGAGGCTAAATCTCAGCTGCAAATCTCAGCAGAAGAGCAAGAAAGAGAAAGGAGAGAAGCAATCAGGGACAAGGAACAGATTCATGAAAACATGAGAGAGATAAGGTCGAAACAAGATAAGTATACCATGCAACTGGAGGAAAAGCTAAAAGAGAAAGAAAAAGAAATTCAAGAACTCAGTCAAAAGACAACTGTGGACAAAACCTCTTCTAAGAGCTGTGACTGTAGTTGCCATGACAATGAAACTGAAATTGAACTACAAAATTCTGGCAAGAAGACAGTCCAGTTTGTTTTGCCCGAAGATGGTCCTCATCAGGAGCAAATTTCAGAGGAGATACTTCTAAAACTGAAAAGCGTGACACATGAACTAGAAATGCGAACGCAACAACTTGGACTGCTTGAAAAACAAAACCATAACCTTGATGCTCAAACAAAAGAGTTACAATCAATCTACATCCAGTACAGAAGTGCATCTCAGCTACAAATAGAAAACCTGAAGACACAGCTGTATAACCTTCAACAGACCATAGATAAGCTCAGTGCTGAAAATGACCATCTGAGAAGTCTCCTGTCAAATTCCTCCACTGTCACATCCCCACGCGGTAACATCTCGCGACCACAGTCAGAACCTCTTAGGATCACATCTGCAGTCAGAATTCCACGGCAACAATCTGCAACAAAATCAGACAAACTGCCGACAATTCAGCAAAGTGGAGCTCCTCCCAGAAGAGCCAGCATGCCAAATTTCTCTTCACCACCAGAATCAGAGTCGGTATCCCACAAATCAGTTTTGAATTCCCTACAAAGGAAAGAAGATCGCCCTGGCATAGATGCTGCTGCCAGTTCCAGTAGTTTCCTAAGCAGGAGATTTGTTTCAAGTGGAAAATCAAGGAGTAAACCACTACCTGGGTTGAAAAAAGTCAACCCAAATATAACCACAGTATGTGAAGAAGTGACACCCCAAGGAGGCTTTTTAGACATGCAGGGGGCCTCATTAACAATCCCCCCAGAAGCACTAAAAGGTCCAATCTATATCCAGTGTACAAAAAACATAGGAAACCCAGCAAAATCTGAATACGTTAAAAGGTGTGGCATGTCTGAATTTGTGAAACTTGGTAGCAGGTATAACTTCAGGCCAAACAACATAAAATTTCAGAAAAAAGTCACCATGTCCACCAGCAAACCAAGTGACCAGCCCCAGGCAGCACTGGTGGTGCACCAGCGGCTAGCAGAAAGGGGCATCGTAAGTGACTGGGAGGATATCACAGACAAATGCATCTCCCAGTCACAGCCAGAGGAAAACACAGTGAACTACAAACTCGGCCAACTTGGAGAGATTCAAGAATTCTGGATGGTGCTTATGGAGGAAAATCGTGCGCTGAGAAACAGACTTCTCAGTGTGCACAATTTGGGCAGCGTTCCTTGTGACTTTACTCTCTTTCTGCCACAACTTCCGCCAGTGTCATTCATAGAGGTAGTTTGTTCTGACCAAAGCCTTGAACTAAAATGCCTTGAGATATTCAGGTCAAAGGACAGAAACATGATAAAATGTGGCCAAGAAGTCAGCAATTATGAACTCTGCAATGAGGATGACATTGTTTTCATGTTTGATAAACTTCTCACTGTTCAAGGAACTTTTAAGTTAGATATTGATAAATGCCGGACAAGAGGACAGAGATTCAAACTTTCTTTAACAAATTCCAACATCCCTAGCAGTATGGAAGTTGCGAGAAATAAAATGGACAGTTACATGCCCCAAAGGATATGCACCATTGTCATCAATATAAACGGCATAGGTGACTATTATTGTTTTATAAAATAAGATACTAAAAAAATTAAACTGAGATTTGATATACACAAAAGTAAACACAATTCTTTTAAGTTAATGTCACACTATAATTTCACTTACAGCCAGAAATATAAATGTAGCTTCAATTAAAACCACACATTTATTCAATTTGACTTTAATTTTTGTTCCTTTTTCCAGAAATCGAGGCTCCTCATGGACAAATTCTGCACCAGTTTCGTCTAAAACTCATTAAAGATGTAGACTTCAAGGACTTGGTTAACTCCCTGAGACAAGACAACACAATAAATGAGCGTATGCAAGAGGAGATAGAACAAGAAAAGACACGGATGGACAAAATGGCTAAATTTCTAGACATACTAGCACATAGACAGGAGAAAGGGTTTATTTCCTTCCTAGGTTCACTTCAAGATTCCTACGACTGGCTGGCAACTGAGATGGAGCAGTGCTTCCAACAGTTAAAAGCCCAATTTATATCAGGCACATAACTAACTTCTTTACTATAGCTAAGGCAATGGGGAATTTTAAAAAATCAAAATAAAGCAGGTTTTGTGGTAGATATCCTTCGTATGACTGAAATATGCCATGTTAAGAACATTTAGGCATCAGTTGCTGCAAATTAATGAAAGTTATAAATAAATGTGGTGACAACACATTTTCAAAAATTATCTAAATGCATGGAAGAAAAACAATTTTGATACAGTATTTCAACTGAATGACTGCAGTGAATTAAACATGCAGGAATAAGTGAAGAAAGAGAAATAATTAATGTTACAGGTGCTGCCAAAACAGAATTTCATTCACTTCATTTATATGTGTCTATAAAATATTTTATTTATGATAAACAGACTTTATATGTGATCAACTGTAATAACTACAAATATACCACATCAATAAAGATAGTGTTTTGATGTTACTGCACATAATGCAAATATGAACAATTTCCATGTAAAATCATAACATTTTAAGACTTACATCAGCCAAAAATGCAATTTTAGTTGTAATGACATACAATTCAATTGAACATTATGGGGTTGGTAGACCAATCTTTTCTAGTCCCATATCTGATTTCATACCTATACAAGTCTGGTGGAGTGGAACATATCACCCAATGAGGTACTGTGGCTTCAAACAATGCTCAAATATTAACCAATGTTATAAATGCATCATAATACTTATTAAAACTTTTCACTGGAGGTGCTGAATTTTTTTCATGAAAGTAAATATGTTTTTAAAAGGTTTAAAAGGCATGCTGATTGTAAATCCACCAGATTTTTACCCTTCATTCACTGTAAAGCTTTAACCCACATAACAAAAGCAATTATTAAGGCGGTCTGCCACGTATTTTCTTTACACTGCAACCATTATATTTACAAAACATTGGATCAAAGGGATTGAATGTTTGTCAATAGTAATTCTGCATGAGCTCACAGGTTTTACACAACCGTTTGGGGTTTCACGGCAGTTTTAGACCAACAAGCCGTAACTTGTCAGTCAGCAGACAGAACACAATAAATCATGGACTACGAGAAAATTAAACAGCATTTGGAAAGCTTATGCTTCACTATCACTCCAACTGACAGTTTTTACAGGGCATGTGTAGATGGAGGGTTAATTGAGAGAACAACACTCTATAAAATAAAGGTGAGTGATGTCAAACTGTATCAGGTGACATTTCACACCATAGAAGTATGTTCCAGAAAAAAAACTACAAATCATACACTCTTTTTAGCAGCAAGTTACAATCTGCTGCTTACTGCATTCATGTTTAAATGAAGATCATGCACAATTCAAACCCATGATAAAATTCGAAAGATGACTAGTATAATTTCCTATTCTTTCATATCCTCAGGAGTATATCAAACTCCAAGGCCACGGCGTTGCCACATTCCTCCTCAGCCTGACCCCACTAGGTGGAGTTGCCATCACAAAGCTGGTGGAGATCATTGAGAAAACTGGAAATAACATCAACCAGGCACAGCTTTATACTGCAAGGGAACACCTATCTGAAGGTCAGTCACCAGACTTAATTTTGACACATTAGAGATTGTGAGATTTTTGCGACATTACTGTATTTGTAAGTCTTGCTGCGCAAGGGTTTACTATTGGGTTCCTAATATATCAACAATTTCTCCATCAGTTGTTATGTTTTTTAGGGGTAAAATGACTTAAAAATCACAAGATATTTCAATAGTTTCTGATAAAACGTATATCTGTGGGTTTCTCTTTCAGCTTGGGAAAGATATCATCAACAGATAATAGGTATTCTGATAACCATTCGAGAACGTGAAGGAAATGCCATTGAGAACCAAAAAATTTCCATATTAAGTGTGTGTCCACGAGAAAACCAAACCAAATGTAGAAAATGCGGCAAGGTGGGGGTGAACGGATTTACATCATATTTGGTGTGTTTGAACCTTTATATGAACAATATCTGAGGCTGCAATATTTCCTGAAAAAAATCCCTACTTACAGAGATATGGCCAGTGACAATTTGGGGGGTTTATCAACCAAAAATTCTTCTGAAAAACAGGGTTATATTGATTGGCCTTAAAGTTTATACAGGTGTCACCAAATGATTTAGTTTGGTGATATATTATAACCTAAAGATAGGGGATTAAAATGATATACACTTTTTCCACTCTCTTTGTTTCCATGGTAACAAACCAAGCGTTTTTCTCAGGCCTACAAACCACATGCTTTGAACACCCCCCTTCTATTTTTGACAATATCTTCATCTTCACAGGTCTTTGGGGTAAAGCGTGTTCAGGACTAACAGATAACTCATTAATCTATTTATACATGAAATCAAAACTTACTGCTGTTCTACAACTTGTCCGTTGTAACAGATAGAACATGACCTAATTTCTTCATTTTTCGTAAATATATCCGAACACGTATATCGGTGCACTGAACTTCAGCCATCTCTTTCAAGTCAACGAATGGTTTAAAACACTGTTAGTTGAACTTTTTATTTTCATTTTACCTATTCTAATTTTTTTCTGGTTAAAACAAGCATCTAACACATTTTAAAACCATGTGAAACTAATGTACTAACGTCAGAACAACACAACGTCATTATCCAACATGGCGGAAATCGCAGACTGTTTGTTTACAAATCTTCCTCAACGAAGTCGTATATCATGTGGTTTATACTCTGTCTACAGATATAAAAAA